CCAGCCCCAGCCCCAGCCCCAGCCCCAGCCCCAGCCCCAGCACCAGCAACCGCGGAAGAACTCCTCCCCGCCGCACTCGCACCCGTACCCGCGCCTGCGCCCAGACTCTTGACACTCCCCGAAGAGGCAGGTCTATGCCCACCACCACCGCCACCGCCGCTATTACTCCTCGAGCGCGTGCGGGTCATACCGTGCCCGATGAGGGCTTTATGTTGTTGCGGCTTGACATGATGTTGTTGACTCTGCTGCCCTTGTTGCTTCGCATGCAGTTCCTTCATCGGTCCCTGCTGCAGCTGATACTCCGATCCGCCGGTAATGCTATTGCTAGCGGTGGTGTTGTTGTTGTTGTTGTTGTTGTTGTTGTTGTTGTTGTTGTTGTTGTTGTTGTTGCCGGACCGGGGTCGGGACGACGTCTATGTAACAGAAAACACGCCCCAAATCAGAATCCAGCATGGTAAAGCCACCGCCGCCTCTATGCACCATCCATCCCTCGGGAAAGGAAAGCAAAGGCAACGGAAGCTATGCAACGATCCCCTGAGCGGATGAAAAAGGTGCGGATTTTGCGAATTAACATAGGATATGCTCTAGGTTACAACCCCCCTCCCCCCCTCCCCCGAGTCCACACACACACAAAAAGGTAAGGGTAGAAGAGCAAAACTCCCCAGTGCAGGTACAGGGGGCAGGGGTGGGAAGGCAAGCAAGCAAACAAACCGGTCACCGAATCATCAAGAATTCAGATTCAACGTACCGAGTTATTGCCGCCCACCCCCCCGCCTCCCCCTGCTCCTCCTCCCCCTCCGCCTCTTCGCCCATCATCCTGTAACCGCAATTGCTCCATCCGCCGCGAACTACTATCCTGCCCTAGCGCATCGTTGAGCGGCCCGCCGCCGCCATCCTGTCGCATAAGCAGGGATGAAGGCAGTCCCGACGAGGAGGGCCCTTTCGTCGCTGCTGCCGCTGCCGTCGCTCCTCCGTTCCGCGCGTACTCGCCACCACCGATCCCGCCAATAGAGCCGTGATGGCCTCCCCCGACACCTCCACTTCCACCCCCACCACCATTCATCTTCATACTCTCCGCCAGCTGCGCCAGCCGATCCCATTTCGCCTGCCGCACCTGCTTGACCGCCTCGGCGTTGTTCTGCTGCTCCGTGTACTCATGCGAGCACTCGTCGAAGAGCTGCGGGTTGACCTCCATGAATAGCTTCATGGCATTGTACACCATGCCGTGGATAGTCCTAGATTACACAAGAAGAGGAGTCAGTGACAGTTACGCGGGCAGTGAGGTAGATGCCCGTGGGTGAGGGGTCAGAGGGTTAACTAACCGATTCCAATGCCCCTTTGAATTCTCGTACAGCGGCGCGAACATGATGGGCAAGATGACGTCCACATTGTCGCTGACCAGATTGCAGAAGTACTCGTTGTTCCAGAAGTAGAGCGCTCGCTCGGCGACCTATGTCCCAAAAACCACATTAGTCAGCCATCCCAGAAAATACTCACCAAACACCTGAAAAAAGTGCTGTTTCTGTCCGATGCTGCTCACCTGAAAATGCGGACTAGCCACACTCTTCGCCAACTGATTAAACAACGGCTCCTGCACCTTGGCAAACTCGGCCGGATCCATGACCTCGAAGATATCCTCCACCTCGTTCAGAAACATGACCTCCTTCGTACTATTCACCTTCGGCCAATACCGCAGCAGACCCAACACCACCTCCTCCGTCAACGCGGCGTCCTTTTCCAAAAACTGCACGATGCAGTACGCGAGCTGCGGGTGGTACATGCTCAGGCTCTTGACTTTATGCAGGGGGATGAGGACGCGGGTGAGGAAGAGTTTGTGTTCCTCCTTCAGCGGTAAGGCGAAGCCGTTGATAATGGAGCCGAGGATCTCGAGCAGCTCGGCGATGCCGTTGAAGCGCTCCGTCTCGTAGATGAACTGGAAGAAGACGTTGTTGATGCTGCGGCGGATGAAGGAGCGCAGGTTGAGGAATTTGCCGTAGATGCGGTGCAGGGTGGTCTTGAGGAAGTCCCTTTCGCGGGGGTCCTCGGAGTCGAAGAGCTCGAGGAGTTGGAGGACGAAGCCGTGGTCGATGTACTGCTTGGCGAAGTTTGTGTTGAAGTCTTGACTTTCGATGAAGCGGAGGAAGAATTCGTAGACGACCTGAATATGCGGCCACGCGACCTCGAGTACGGGCTCATCTTCTTCCGGGTCGAAGGCCTCGCCTTGCGGATTCATGGGCGGCGGGATGGGGCGGAAGAGATTCTTGGCGAACATCTCGACCACACGCGGATACATGGGTTCGGAGATGACTTGGCGGTTTTGGGCCACGTAGTCCAGGAGCTCATGCAGGGCGAGGCGCTTGATTTCCTTGCTTTTCATGTCGCCCGACGCGTCGTTGAAGTCGAAGATGATGTTGCATTGGTCCAGCTTCTGCATGAAGAGTTCTTGGCGGCGGTTGGGCGGGACTTCGTGAAAGCCGGGCAGCTTTTCGAGCTCGCGTTGTCGTTGGTCGGAAATGTCGAAACGGGAGGAGTGCTGGCGTTTGGGAGTGCGGATTCCTTCGGGCATGACGTCCTTGGGCGCGGCGGATAGCCGGTCGAACATCATGCTCTTGGAGCCGGCCTTGGGAGGCGCAAGATCGTGAGGCATCGTCTCTTCGGCGCCGGGTGGAGGGACGTGCTGGGGTATGTCAGCTTCACTACACTCCCTACAAGGCCAGTCGTGCAACTCACTGGCGCGCTGGGTGACACGATCACGCTCGGCGGGAGCACGCTATGTCTCCCGGGTGTGGCAGGGCCCTGCTGCGGTCCCCCAGTATTGTTCGGCTGCCCAAACTGACCCTGATGCGGTCCAAACGCCATTCCCATCTGCGGCGCGCCGGGCGGTGGTGCGCCCGGACCCTGCTGTGTCGGTCCATCCGGCACCATCCCCTTGTTTCGCGGGTCTACCAAATTCGACGTGGACGAGGTGGGCGTGGCCTGCGCCGAAGTGGCAGGGGACTGGTTGGAGGGCCCGCCAAGGGGTGACTGGGTGCCGGAGGCGTCCTTTTTCTTCGCGAGCTTGTTGCCCTCCTTGTCTCGGCCGCGCGACGAGAGGCCCTGCTGTCGGACGACGACGTCATCAGTATCGCGACTACAACTCACACGCCCGCGCTGGCTGGGGGGCGGAGGGGGGGATGGGGAGGAGTGGAGACATACCACTTTTTGTCGGAAGCCTTTCATCGTGTGTTGGCGCCAATTGAATGGGCGTGGGAGCGAGCCAATGCCGCCCTCTGCAAGGGAACACCTTCCCGGCGGTGCGGTGCGCTTGCTTGGATGCCTGCTCTTTCCCGCTTGCTGCCGCGCAAGTACAGCTGTCCGCTAGCTCTGTTGACGGTGGTGGTGGAGGTGGTGTAGGGTGGGATGGAGGGGTCAGACCGCCATGGGGGCGTGTCGTGCGTGGTGGATCGCCGCAGGAGCGGCAGGGGGTGGGTCGGTGGTGGAATCCTGGTTCTCTCAGGCTGCGACACGTGACTGGTGGGAGTTGTGTGTGAGGGCGAGAGTAGGAGAGCCAAGAGCTTGGCTTGCTATAGGAGGGGCAAAGAGCGGATGGAGATGTCAATTGACCGCGTGGACGACGCAATCGGGCTGCTGCTGTTGTTGCTCGCCCTTTCGAACGAGCACCAGTGGGCGGGAGAAGCCGTGTGGCTTGCCGCGGCGGGGTCCAATCCGAGCAATCCACACCTGTTTCACTCTTGCCTCTTCCATCGACATGCATATCGAACAATCTCGGACATGTGTACACATCATAATAACAAGAACGGCAAGACCGATCGACGATGGTGTCCATGTCAAACGTACAGCATCAGGACCGTTCTTCCAACGCTCCTCTATACCATGTCCCCACCCAGCGCATCGTGAGTATCGAGCATCCCTGCATCGTGAAGAACTTCGATAATGGCTTCAAGTCGCTGGGCGGCGAGGCGCAGATCCAACATGTACGCCTCCACCCCATATCCTCAGTCACGGGCCATGACTGACGCTTCATAAGGTACTCGATCACACCGTCGGCGATAGTCTGCTCAAGGTGGGTGACAAGACGCACGTCTACCCCGAACCCGTCGTCGGCGTCTCCTTACGACCCCATGATGTCCTCGCCAAGAAGATGTCTTCCTCTGGTGTGGAAACGCGCAACATCCTCGTCAGAGTGACAGTCCCGAAATGGACGGGTCGCAAGCGAAAGAGAGGCTCCAACGAGCCCTTCGCCACCGTACCCCCAATCGAGCAACATCGCACCAGTATCAAAGCGCCCGCCCTCCTACGACAACTGCGCGACAACGAAGGCGCGTACCAGGTGCAAGCCCTAGGCATGATCCGCGAAACCCACCGCTTCCGCAGCCAGCCCGACTACCAAATGCACAGCGGCGACATCCCCCTCCTGCGCGAACTCAAAACCCACGTCCTCCACCCCACCCACCCCAACCTCACAAACTTCCGCCTCGACCTCAACCCCTTCGCCCGCGG